TGTGTCATATATAAATATTTTATTAATAGTATTATAATTCGCAGTGTACATAACCCTTACCAATAGTATGTTATTACATAATATATATATAAAATATAGAAATATTTATTGAGAAAAATAGAATGTGTACATAAAATATACAAAATGAAAAAAAAAACCAATGATCGTGATTTATTTTTAACAGAGAAGTAAAAATATTAGTATTATGAAAAACAAAAACAAAAAAAAGAATATATTATACACTTATAGTTTTTATATTTCCTTTCGGACGCGAACGACGGAAATTTCATCGTCCAGACGAGTAGCGTTTAATTAAAACGGGGCTTTTGACAGTGCGGGCGGACGGGCTGGACGGACGAAAGACGTTCATTAAAAAGCACTCGCCGAAAAAAAAGGCTACTTTATACTTACGACGTTGATGGTGGACGGCGCGCGGCTGCGGGAATAGTCGCACAGCTGCCGTTCGCATACGTCACCGGATGCTTTTGGGATACATTTTTTGGGGAGGATAGGGAAACGGAGGGAAAAAAAGCAAGGCCCCGTTCGAATGTTGTGTAAATGTTTGGCGTAGGGAGGAGAGCATCGCAAACAAACGAAAGATTCTGCGAGGGGACCGTGTGTGGAAAAATATACGCGATACGTGTATAAATATCATGTTTTGGGCCATCCGTAAAGTGTATTTTTTTCTTTTCTTTTCTATTCAATTTTTTTTTTTTTTTTATTATTATTATTATTTTGTAGCTCTAGGGCAACGTATTTGAAGTAAGTACTCAATTTTACGTTAAAGATACATCAAAATTGAAACTTAATCAATTTCAAATTTTAAGGTAATTGTATTAATAGTTAAATAATATAATTTTTTTTACTAGAATTTCTAGGTCGTTTCATATTTAATTTTTCACGTACATTTAATACTCACTAGGTGTAATAACTTTTATAGCTCACCCTCACTCACTGTTTTCGGGCCATTTTTTAAGGGCCAGTGTTTTCAAATTATATATATTCTAAGTTACAACGATTTTAAGCAGCACAAGAACCGTAGAAAAACAAAAGTGATATACTTTGTCTATGTATAAAATATCTAATTAGTTAATAGTTAGAGTATTATTTACTATAATTTTGTATAGATTAAATAAAAAAAAAAAAATTTTAATTAAAATTACTTACTATTATAAACTAATTTTCCGAAATTATTAATTGTAATTCCAAAATTATAGGGTATTCCTTTCGAATTTAACTTGTACATGATATGTTTTTTTTTTTACCTAATATATACGCAATGGCATGTTAAAACGTCATAATATTATTACCTACTGTATTTTTTTAAAAAATTGCCATTATATTAGATACTCTCGTTATTCTAATCAATTTATAAATTGAAAAATATGATGTAACCTATAATACACCTATAATAATGCACCTTTTTCCGTCAAAATTTAGTGACATTTCCATTAAAACGAGAGAAAAATATTAAAAACTGTAAATTAGTAAAGTGTAGTTACATAGTAAGCCGCATAAATATGCAACAAATAATTTCGTATTCGACTCAAAGGAAACGAATTATTAGTATCTCACTATCGGATTAGTTTGGGATTATGTTCAAAAATAATAATATGCAAATTCTGCAGATTACTATTATACTATAGTCCCGGTATAATATACATACCTACACAGTAATAAGTATAACTAGCGTGTAATAACCTAGTTGGAAATTCGAGCGACTCTATATTAAATACTATTTTAAGAACAATATTATTATTTATGCGTCCAATTTATATTGCTGAAAAAAAACTGCTCAGAATTTGAAAAGAAAAAAAAAATAGCAGCAGAGATCCCCGTCATAGTAATCAAAGTTTCTCATCTACTTATTTTGTATTATAGAAATATTCTTTAAAAAAAAAAAAATATAATAACCGTACATTATGATCATGCAATATAATATACTACAATTATACTACTTGCCAAAAAAAAAAAAAAAATGGTAAATATGGTTGAAAGTCGAAACCCTTAAAAGGCGAATCCTTGATACTACATTCACAAAAAATCATACCCCTAGCTTTATTTGGATGGTCTGCGGAGGTACACAAAGGTAAAAAGAATAATAATAATCACAATAACGCGGTTAAACTCACATGATAATATAACTCAACTTTTACCACTTCAATCTGCCTACAAAACCACTCGGATACCCGAGTTTGAGCTCATTAGGTAGAGAAGAAGCCGCTTAAAGTGTACAAAAGTAACGCAGTACAGTACAACAGTCTCCGTTTCCGTGAAAAAAATCGACAAACATGACGGAAACAAATGACGCGTAAGTATACTGTATTCTGCACTCGTCTCAAAACCAGAGGTGCAGGTTCCCAATGAAAAAATATAACCCTGACGTCCACCGCGGACGAAGAAAAAACCGTGTGTGTTTTACCGTAGTGCGTATAAATACTTAAAATTTCCGGCGATAAAATTTTCACTCTTAAGTGTATAACCGAAAAAGCGGTCGCACATTTATAGGGTTTGGAGGAGGAATCGTCGCCGTCGAATTGTTGAGCAAAGAACAACGCCGTTTTCGGCGGATAAGCACGCGTCGAGTGTTTCGCGTACCTGCCGAAACACGGTCAACGAGACTGCAATAATTTTCGACGAGAGCCCGGGCGGGGGGCCCGAATCAGGGTTAATTTCGCGCGCGTGACCCGACTGTGTGACACACACCATCGCAACAGTCTACAGACTGACGAGCGGTTTTTTTCGAGTGCGCGGACAAGAGCTATTTCGCATTATCCGTGCGTAAATACGTAATCATATTTAGAGGATGCGACGGTCCGATAATAATATAGTGCCGGGCGACTTCGGCAAAGTTCTCTGATACGAGGTAACCGGATGTACCTTATACATTCGCCGCAGCAAAGTTTACACCGCGGCAACTTTGCGTCGACGGGCCGGCCGACCAAACGTACAGGACCGCGCTGGATACAATATTGTTTAATATTATAGTGCGGTTATGGCATCCGAAATACTTCAATTTAAATATAACATATTTTAGAAACGGTGAAGACGCCGTGCTCCGGTCGGTTGGTCGGTACGTTAGGTAATTTCGGCGAAAACGAAAACTTCCGTGCCACGGCTCCGTTCGAATGTTTTCACGGGGGCGATCGGCGAGAGAAGGGAGACGAGAAACGTCAATACACTTTTTTTTTTTTTCGACGAGAAGTTTTTTTACGATTTTATCCTCTCCCTATCCTGTCCTTCCCTTCCAGACACTTATAATCGAGCGCAAACAAAGTTAGTATACGATTATCGCGGTCGTCTCGTGTTTTAAACGGACCCCAACACTTTGCCACCGCCCCACTTCAACTTTAAGGGACCCGATGCCGATTTTGCAGATTTTAACGACCACCTTAATGAAAATACCTTTTCACTCGACTACCGGATGGACGCATAATATAATGTACTATTGAACAAACGACCAGTTAGTAGATTCAGAGAGCGTAGGAAACCAAAAAGTGATACCGATGTTTCCCAGCATAATAGGCCTGATAAAGGGCAAAAAAATCATAGAATATAACGTCAAATGTTTCATGGTAGCTCGTATCGAAACTTATCGGAAATAACCAAGGACTTTTGTAAAATCACGTCGGATAATTACTTTCCGTGTTTACACTTTCAAGCAGTTTTATTTTCCATTAATTGTATTTATTGCATTTCTAACGTTCTGGCCAATTATTTTCTGAAAAATTACAGCCCCCCTCCCTCCTTTATTGATTGAACGAATAAAATTTCACGAAAGATCGCCGAAAACTTATTGTATTCGTAATTTTTTTTTTTTTTTTGTTAACAATAACATTCTACAGCCCGAGTTCGAACTAGTCGTACGTTTAGTTATTTGATTTTAAATAACGTTTATGAAATATATGGTATTACGAAAATCATGAAATTATTTTTTTTTCAGCGATTTAGGGGCGAAAAAAATAATTATTTTTCCCTACGCACGTGTCCAAAAACCCGATTGAAAATATAATAATAAATCATTATAGCGTTATTAACGTTTATATTTACACTGTAGGACACCCTGTATATTATTATTGGTTTTGTTTGCGTTTAGACTTATAGAAAAACGAGTTTTTATGTAGACGGTCGTTATTCGTCCCGTTCATAATCTATAACGGAACGTTCTTCACGGTATCTTTTGGCATATATATATATGTATTATATACCTACGTAGACATTATTATTGTTGAGGCTGCACCGTAGTGTACAACTAACAACAGTGTACTCGTGCTTACATTATAAGAAAACTGGCTTAAAAAAACATCACAAATTAATTAATTTCGAGTAGCTTTGAATATTCATTATGTTACTAAAAGCCCGGGCTTTTGAATTCACCAGTGTTTTTCGCCGACCCGCGGTAACAATAATATTATTATTTATTTTTCGTGTATAGGCACGACGGAACGCGTCGTAAAAGTTGGTCACACTGACTGATGATACTGCGCTAGAAAAACAACGGAAAATCAACAAAAATATAATACGCGTTTCTATTCTGCAATGCCATTATAGCAGCACATTCTATGTCTATAACAATAACGTACACTATATTACCTTTTTTGTTCAAATCAGCTGGAATATTAATCGAACAGTTCGAATATCTTACAAAATTTGTACGGCCGTAACCCCGTGAATATCGAAACTTTTCCAATTTAATTAATAAATACACCGGGTATATCAAACGCGCTGTCTTTTGTGTGCCTTATACTGTACAAAAAAGCAATTTTTCTTTTTTACAGTAAAATATGCATAGTACCTACCTACCTATCATCATAATACAAGTTTGGTTCTCTAATATTTCACTCGGTTGACTTTAAAATATTCTAATATTATTATTTTACAAAACGTTTTGACATTCGGGAAAATTACTTTTAAATTAGTTCTTCTTACGTACGCAAATATTAATGTGTCTATAAAATTGCAATTCGTGTGTAGTGAACGTTTAATATAATAATTGCATACGGAGCGGAAACACGGTCGTTAAGGGAAATGGAGGAAAGTAAAAATAATTGTTTTGGAAAAGAAAATCCGATGGAAGTTTTGGGCCAGTGAAAGAAATGCAAACTGCGGTGAACGGAGAATTAGAGCTAGATCACGCTCTTCCAGGAACATAATAACGTGTTTGATACATTCAACGTGAGTACCCAGAAGATTAAAGCGAACTGAATGCGTTTAGAGAACTCAGAGTTCTGCGTATTTCCGCGTGTTAATGGGAAAAAAGAAGCCGCCATACCCTCGGAGAACCTTCTTTGACACGGGTGTGGATAAACGGAGAATCCTATCCTGGACTTTTTTTTAAAAATATTTTTGTAATTTTTAAACAAAAAGTAAAACAGGTGAATATTAAGTGATTACCTTTTACTATGTGTGCAAAACTATAAAAATATTATAAATAATGACGTGCGTGAAGTTGCCCCCCCCCTCCCCAATTGTCCGATCGACTTCAAACCTATACCTAATAATTTGGAACCTGGTTTTTAGAATTTGGAACTCCATATTTTTCTCGAAAACTAACATTTTATTTTAAGTGGCAACCCACCTCCCCACTTTGCTCCAAGGATGGCACACGGCTTCGAATCATACAGTTAATTGTCACAAGCCCAATGTTTATACATATATTAATGAGAAACTAATAACCGACAGCAAAATGTTGAATTGGATGTTTCATTCCAATGTAGGGGAAATCTAAAAACCATATCCGGTTTAAAATTTTGTCATCTCGAATAACGGTTTACATATGTTAAAGATAGATGACTGTGTAAAATACCTAGTATATATTTTACATTTTATATTTACATAATATACTTTTCAGATTAAGAGTAAACGAAATAACAGTAATTGAGGAGTAGTATGTTGTTACTTTAAAATATCATATCCATGTATTATAATAAATTTGTATATTATTATTAAAGTTATAATATAAAATGGTATATTTTTGTTTTTTTTTTTTTGATAAATTTTAATTTGATAAAATTGACAAATTTTTTTGATTACTAATTGTTTTTACGAAAAAAACTCATATTGATTGATAAAACTAGTGTTGCAAATTTGTATGAAAATTAATTCTAATAAAACGACGTGAATCTGATTTTCGGTGAATTGGGATTCATCTAGACAGCAACTATTAGGAGTTGGCTAATTCGGAATTCACCGATGTAATTAGTACTTTTATTAAACAAATAAAAGAAGAGGGACTATACAAATTCAAACAATTTAGCTTAGTTTAGCTTTTGGTTAAATTACCTTTCAGATTATTTTACTCTCGTGCAAATATTTAATTTTATACTACAGATAACTGCTTTTAATTTTGTTTATATTTAATTTGCCTATATTAATACATTTAGTCCATTTCTTTGAAATCTTAATTTAAGTATATCAGATATTATAATCATGGATTTGTGATTAATGTTATTATTTTTTCTTTGTATGTTTGTCGTTGATAACGTAATGTTTTATATTTTATATTTGATTTTTGAGGGAATAAATTAATATTATTGTATTATTATGACAACATATGACAACCCCATATCACAATCTAATTCGAATTACGTCACTTGGCCGATAAAAACAAGATGAAGAAGAAGAAGCACTGAACGTTTTATTTAGATATTATTTCAAAAAGTCAAAATATAAAATACTTAATCGCATATTTTTTATTTAAACGTGTACGGTATACTTAAACCGCAGCGTCGTAGTCGTCTCTATGTATTAAATGCATTTTCGCGGGAAATATTAAAAAAAAAAAAAAAAACAATAACTTCTTAATGATATACATGAGTTTTGCTTGTCTGCAATAGCGCCTATACAGCTGCGGTTTTCAAAACAAACAAATTAACGTGTTTTTTTTTCTGAGTCGTAATAGTTGATGGACAACAACAGAAAACAAATAACAAACATAAAACGCGAAGAAAATATATAATTAACCGACCAGATGGCATTATTCTTCTTTCGTTTTTTTTTTTTTTTACTATATTTTTCTCACAACAAACAACAAATTGTACTATTTTTTTTTTCTACTCAAAAGTTTAAAGTCATTGCTGTAGTAAATATATTTTATTTTTTTTAAAAACGAAGACAATTTCTGAGTTCTCGAAAAGTTTAACGAGAACAAAAATATGTTCGCTTTATTATTATAATAAACGCTAATGAGTTACTCGAATCATTTGTTGTTCGCAAATACTTTTCAGGGTCTAGACTACGTAGACGTATAGTCAAGAGATGTACAAAGACCGCGCGGACAGAGGACTGCAAATCCGTCGACAATGGCGAAACGCAAAATGCGTCTGTGGCCGATATTTTTTCGTCTGGGACTTTTTATAAACAATTTTTGCAGATCAAATCGACCGCGAAAACACGAGAATGCGCTCGAAACCGACGACGTCCTTTGATCTATCAGCTGTCGCCGTCACCGCCGACGGTCACAGTATAGCTGCAGTAAGTCGCATTAAATGAATTTTAGAGAGAATGAAAAAACACATACGTATAAAATAAAAGGCCCCCGTGAGTGTCGATCGTGCGTTTTATATTGCTGCTAGTCCATCCGGTAGTCGAACGTTGGTATACAGGATGATTTTTTTATCGCGTGTACCTACAGCTAAATTATATAGATACGAAGATTTCGAGAAATTAAAATTTTGTTTAAATTTTTTTTTTTTTAGTCAATATCATATTGTAATATGATATTTATTAGTGTTTGTAACTTTTTACCCGGATTCCTTACACCGCTGCAAACACGTTTTGACTTTTGATATTCAAGTTAGAAAATCATTCTGTCTTTAGCACGCTGTCAACCGGTTTTCAACTCGACGTCAGTTTTATCGCGGACAAATTTTTCAAACCCAAATTTAAAACCCGCAGGTCACTGCAGGTATTCGAAAAACGATACGGATAATATTACCAGTGTATAATTGTGTTTCCGGTATCCGTGAAGGACGGAATTTCTGAAAATATACAAGTATTATGTATAATAAAACAAATCGTGTCTGAAAAGCCATTGAATTTTTGCGCCGTAAATCATGTGCACGGAGATAATCCAAATTTGGTCCGTGATAAATGAATCAGCCGGTATACATGCGGTGTACGCGCCGCGCGGAGTGAGGGGATGATGGGGGATGTTGGGGGAAAGCACTCGAACGAGAGTATAAATAATTCAATAGTCTTCTGTATAGGATGACGACTGCACACAGAAGTCGCCGCCGTCGGACGGCCGCTGCAACTCTACAGAGATCGGCAATAATAATATTATGTTTTTTCAGTGGGAAATCGGATTGCGGTGAAAAAATAATAACTGCCGGCGAGACCGCTCGAATGAATTTTGGATGAAAGCCCGAGCCGAACTCGGCCGTGTTCGGCGCGCGTGCAGGTGACGAGAACGGGGCGGGCGGTGTTTATACGCGAGGTTTTTACGCTTTTTTTTTCTATTTTTTTTTTTTTTTTTTTTTGCCTCCCCGAATCGTTTCAATGGAAATCTCTTCAGATCGCGTCGTCCCGCCCCGGGCTCGGTATACGCTGCAGCGGCGCGCGCATAAATAATAATAATTCGTATAACNGGTTTTTTCGCTTTTTTTTTTTTTTTTTTTTTTTTTTTTTTTGTCGACGACGCGCGCGTGTCATCGCCATTCCGAATAATAATAAAAATATATATTCCAATATCGCGGCGGCGCGCAATACACCCGGCGCGCGATCGCTCCGCCGATATTCACGGGATTATAATCAAAAATTCCAAACTTGTAATACCCAATTTCGTTTCGTTTCGTTTTTTTTTTTTTTTTCGCCTCCCCGAATCGTTTCAATGGAAATCTCTTCAGATCGCGTCGTCCCGCCCCGGGCTCGGTATACGCTGCAGCGGCGCGCGCATAAATAATAATAATAATAATAATAACATTATAATACGTACCCGGGCGACAGTACAATGAACGCGTCGTGTCCGTCTTCGTGCTTTTATTCGTGTGCGCGGATACTCGCGCGCATTGTCGCACATTCGCCCGTCATCGCGGTAATACACCGACACGAACGCGCGTGCTAAAAAAAAAAACACGTCGACAGTGTCGTACGGAATATTGCGACAGTGCGACGTGCGACAGTGAAGAGACGCGGGTAACGGCGTTTCGCGCATACGCTACGATGTGTGCACGCGGTCGCCGTCTCGCGAATGCGACATGCGATTTTTCGTGACACGAATCGCCGCACTGTTGTCGGTACAATACTGCGAGCGCGGACAAAACGCGAAGCGCGTTTTTGCGTTTCGTCTTACCCGCGGGAACGAGGAAACGTGTACGTGGTCCGGTAATAATTCCGAACCTGATCCGGATCTGGACATTTTATAATCGCAATATACCGTGCGTGTTTATCGGAAACGACAGGTTGACTGTTTAAATCGCATTCACGCGGTCCAACAGGCTACGATATCATCGAGCTGTGTCGTTCACCGAAATTCAGTTGCGCACCGAATCCGATAGACGTTCCGTTAGCACTTGGTTTCACCATTGGTAACGAACGAAATCGTCTTTCTGGATAAAAATTCGGCGGTTATTTATTCCGTATCGTTTTCAACGTATTTTGAAAAGTATCATTTTACAGCACTGTATAATAAAGCGACGCTGTAGTATTACATGGACGACAGCTCGGTGTGACGCGATAGAAGACGGTCGTGGTCAGTGTTCGAGAATGTTCACGAATAAATGAGAACGGACTCTGATGGCTGTATAATTTAGAACTATCGTCCCATACCTACAGATAAACGTAACGGTGAACCCAGCACACCTTATAGTGCAGAAAGCGTGCTCCGTGTTGAGCCTACACGAAGAAAATGTGTGAAATGAATTATTTTCATATCACAATAAAATAAAAAAAAATATTAAAATATTTTGTATAGGTTTCTAGCATTTGGGTATAACCGGTCAAAAAATACGAAAATCGACGATCTAATTTGTAATGAACGATTTATAAGGGCACACAAACGCGTAAGTAATATGAAACATTTGTCAATATTTCAACGTGGTTTTCAGCTGCAAAAATCGAACTTAAATTTCAAATAATAATAATTATTGTTATCAACAATAAATTGCGCTGACAAATAAACAGTCAGACGCTTCCGATAAAAGCGTTCCGCGATTAATTAAATGAAGTGGTACTGTCAAATCTACGAAAAAATGCGCCTGCATTTCGCCCACCTCGAGCACTGGACTAGTAATCGATTAAAAACGAATCCCTGTGCGGATTATTATGTAGACGCACATGTATGCATGTGTAGAGAAAAAGTTATCTATTTCAAAAATAAAAAAAATAAATAAAAAATTTACAACACTGAATATTATAAAATAATCATGGGTTTATTAATTCAAGCAGTGTAGACTGTACACAGTACACTTATATATTATTAAATAGTATCAATTTTGACATTTCAGAAACGTTTTGTTTTGCTTGTATTCATTTTTTCAGTAGTTTTATCCGAAAAATATAAATATATATATATATATATACCGATACGCACAAAAATATTATACAATCGATATACTCCTGATATAATAGTAAGAATGCGGTCAATATACTCTTTATATAGGTACGATTCGACCGCCCACGCGAGAAAAAAATTATAAATATTATTTAGACGTTTAAATATGCGGACGGTCTCGCTGGCATATCGCTCGTTTAATTGGACACAAAAAACTAACCGGCGGCGCTCGCGAATATTAACAACGTCTAGAGAGAAGAAAACGCAACTGGCAAGTGTTGTACAACGCTAAAACAATAAAATATAAACTGAACTGGAAATAAACGACCGCACAATGTTGTACACGAGAATTCAACACGATTCGAGTAGTTAATATTAAAACGGGCGACACGATACTCTCGAAATCTCAAAAATAATACACAGCGCGTGGTAAATTCGAATCGATATTCACTCGGTGTACATCGGAATTGGCTCGTTCGATTTCGATATTAAATCCGCGAAATAATATTCAAAATACGTGTCTCCAAATGAGTAATTACTTTCAATCGGGTACTTTACGCGTTACAGGTTCTGAGAACAACGAAAATTATTTCGGTTTTACTATTATAAAATGTAAGCTTTTTGACAGTCTATAAACGATTTTTTTACCAGAAATCTTGATCCACTCAACAAAAGTCATTTTTTTCAATTTTGTTTTTTTTGTTTCCATAATTCGGTAAAACGTAATTTTAGAAAAGACCAATATCAATATTATAGGTTTTTTCTAAAATAATCATTTTTGCCTCTTTTATCGTCTGATTACCTGACCTGATGATGATTTTATTCAATCGAAACCCGTCTTATTCACATACAACCATAATAATAATCCAGGCTTTGTTTAGTTGTTTTTCTTTATTCATTTGCTTTGCATATATATACCTACACCAGTACATATACATTTTTTTTATATTAAATGTTTCATTGGGTATTATTCTAAAAGAACTTTTGTTTTTCGAACGATAGCATCAGCAGTTTGAGTAAAAATACTCTTATCAATCAGCGTAATTACGTGTCGGACAGATGGTGTGCCATAGAGTAATACTGTAGTAGTTACGTTATGCGGTGTACCTATAACACTGTGTTTAACGTTTCGTAATCAAACATCATACCGCGTTTATTAAGTTTTGTTTTTACATTTAGCACTATTTATATCTCAGTAAAACCACCGCTGCCAACGCATTAAATAAACTCCAAAAATCGTTGAATTTTAAAAACTGACTAATAAATTATTAAGTAATTTTAAACATTAATGAAAAAAAAAAAAACAACATTATCTCAGAGTTACTCGGAGTAACTTTCAATTGATTTGAGTAAAACTCCCCACCAAAAGTTCCTACTGACGTCATTTTTTCCAAAATAAATTATGTCTAAAATAATTATGTCTCTAAAAAAAAATGATATATTAAAATCTGCCCTCGCTATATCCAGTTAGGCAACTAAATCATCTTACGATATCGTTAAGAAGTCTTTTAAAATATTAAACTACGAGTATATACTACAAAATCATATATGAAAAAAAAATACATATAAAAATGTATACATCCAATCGAATTTAAAAACATCAAAATCCATCGCGATTACTATATAATCAATAATTAGTTTCTAAAAACAAAAGAAATATTAAACATATCCGAGTCGAAATATATAAATATTAAAAAAAAAAAAACTTATTGACCTTTAGAAATTGTTCGGATTTAGTAGAGCGAAAATGTATTCTTTATTCGTATGCAATGAAACGAATAAGCAATAAGTACACAAAAGAAATTGGAGTCGCATGTATAAATATCCTTCTATTACACAGTCACAGAAGGGAAATTAATAGAATTTTTGTTTTAAGTGTCCTTTAGTTCGTTTCTAAATAAAAAAAAAAAAAAATTGAAAATGCAAGACATCAAAATTAATTGATGGATTTAAATTTAAAAAAAATGTTTTATTTGATTCGCATTAAATTTTGAAACAGAACGTTATAACTAAATAAATTCGTTTGCACTCAAGCGAATCTGTTTATAAGTGTTTTAAATTTTTTTTTTTTTTTTTTTAACGCTCTTGTTGGGCAATAAACATGCTCGAGAAATACATCAACGTTATATAATACGAAGTAAATAATGTTCCTCAGAGAGTACTTTAAAGACTAGTTAATTTTCGTATTCCCCATTAAATATAATTAGGTGCACTATGAAAATATCACGTGATGGGGAAAAAAACGTTTGTCAAACGGCGCATTTAGATGCTAAGTTCCATCGGTATTTTTTGTTTTAAATTCATAGACCGTAATTTTAATTCTAAAATATTACTAAGATTCTAAAATAAAACATTTAATTATAAATTAATATTGAAATCGTATCGCTATCACCACTATCCCATATATTATATGTCTTATATATGAGCATCCTCTTCGATTAACTGTGGATTTTTTCATTCTCCATCATGTCATTGTTAATGCTAAAAGATTTTCCTTCTAATACATTTTTTTGATAATTTATTATTTCTTCATCTGCCATGCAAACAAGAACCAACCATTCTAATCTTGTACTTCTGCTATTTCTGACATGGATATACAAGTCATATACAAGATAGACAAGTCATTTTTCGTAACTCGCCATTTCATATATGTTAACACGCTGAACCAAACAATTTTTGACGCACGAGTGCATTTCTTTCCGTTTTACTAAGTTTAATGTGATCACCTTTGATAGTTTCCCGCGTTTTAACCCGTACAACATACGAGCGTGCTCACCACTCGTTCTAATTTTATTTCTTCATGTTCATTTTTTTTTTTATAAGGTTTTTTTTTATTAGTTTTACTATAATATTTACTTTTTTTTTTTTAGTATTTATAAACAACTTCTCTTTCTCCAAGCAAGAACTTTTTAGGAATATTTTTGTAGTATTTTTAATCTATTTAGTGCATTAATAAAGTAATTTTAGGATTTAATTTCTAGTTTTCTAGAGCTTAATAAGAGAAAAATTGGAAAAAGATAGCAATAGGCAATAGGAATAAAGAATAGTATTTGAAGGAAAAATACTAATAGCAAATAGAAGTAACAATATGAGTTTGAAAGAATACGACAAGACAGCCTACGACTATTATAAGCGGTGATTTAATAGGTAAGGTTAAAAGTTTTAAATACCTAGGGTCTTTTACACAAAAGAACGGTGGTTTTAACGAGTACATGAAATATAGAATTAAGTGTGGTTGGAAAAAAGTAGAGGAAAGCGTCACTGTTTTTTATGGGGCATTTTAATGAAACTTATAGGTGACTTCTACAAAAGTGTGGTGAGACCGACTAAAATGTATGGTTCAAAATATTGGGCGGTAAACGAAAAAATAGAACAGGGAATAAGTTTAGCAGAGATAAGAATGCTTAGGTGGATGAGTGAAGTAACGAGAGAAGATAGAATAAGAAATGAGTAAATAAAAGGTAGCTTAGTCACGGTTTTAATGGTAGACAAAATGAGATAAAATAGACTGAGATAATTTGGGCAAGCCGTGAGGTGAGAAGAATGAGAAGCCATACGATTTGTAATCAAAATAAATGTAGGAGAAAGAGAATAGAGGAAGACCGAAGAAGAGGTGGTTAGATGCGATTGAGAATAATATGAGGACTGCCGGTGTATGCAAGGTGGAATATCGAGTCAAACGGAAGTTTAGGACAAGGTTGATCAGCCCCAAGTAGTTGGGATGAACGCGAAGGAGATGTAAAAGAAGTTACTATTTTAAAATCCAAAGTGGTTTCACACCTAAAAATATCGGTGACAAAAAATAATGATAGGTAATGTAACACTTTAGAACTACTTATTTTCAAAACAAATCATGAGAAAAGTTAATAATTTCCGAGTTAATGAGCATCTTGCCGAAGATCTATCAAATTATATAATTATATGATTTTCAATTGATTTTACTGGGTACACTGCAGTATGCAAAATATTAGTTCACTGCTCCCTATATATTTAAATGTTTTTGTAATAATCCTGGGTTACGGGTCTAAAAGCAAACCGGAACAAGATGGTATAAGTTATTTATTATTTGTCGTTTCCGTTAGTATAATTTTTTACACGAAAATTATTTTCATTCGGACGCCTCCATTCTACCCTCCCTCGCTCGATGTACGTGCATTTTATTAATGCAATATTTAAATTATACGGGTACAGAGCGTTGTACAAAAGAAAAGTTCATTAACTAAAGCAAAAAATAAGGGGAATAAAGGGTATACCCCCCCTTTCGGCTCGGTAGTTCGGTAGCATAATTTACTCGTAAAATATATTATATAATACAGTGGACAAATATTAAAAAAAAAAAAAATGCCCAGGACACATATCACAGTGGTCGGAGTGCGGAGCATTTTTAATATCAGTCGAGGGGAGGGGGGAATTATTAAACTCGTATAGAATTCCGAGATGACGATGTCGGCGACTTGGCCGAAATAATTTCCACTAGACTACATCTTCAGCAGGCGCGTATTGCAGTATTGCAGTATTAATTTATGGATATCGGCAAGGGAATTTCAATACAATTACAATATGCAAATTAGTAGTATTTATTTTGTGTCTTTATCGTTTCTTTCACTTATACGTTTTACATATTTTATGTACATTTAATATGACAAAAATCTGTAACGTATTAAAATAAAACACATCCAAGATTAATTATTTTTAAAACAGTATTACACTGAATCCAATTTTGTTTTTTTTTTTTATAAGTTTTCTTCTAAATACTATAGTAACTATAGTATTTTCCTATGGATATTCAAATGCGCTAAACCAATGGGACGATTTTCTCCCATAGTATTTCTTAAATATGTTTTTGAACGTTTAAAGCTCGAAAACGGAACGATCCGAAACGTTGATGTTGTGATGGATAATATTTGTGGTTACCAGAAATGAAAATAATGTTTGAAAAACCATTCACCCTCAACGTATTAAAATAACACGTATTAATTGTATTTATTTGTACGTAGTCTAGTGATAAAGATATTAAATTTTGATAATTATTCAATATTTTATTTTTATTTTTATTTTTTTTATTTTTGGCATAACTCAAGTCATATGGGAGAATCACATCCCCCGTTATTGTGCCACTAGTCTTCAGTACTATACCGCCATATCTCGGACGTTTATTAAAAATGCTAAACTGGCCGAATGAGACGTAGTGTCAGTCTCTTAATATTATTATTTCCATATCCGACTGCGAAATTGATACGACAGTTTTGTCGGTCGGATATTGTATTTTGGTGCATATATACAGCGTAAATGGAATTCCTAAAGCGAGCGAACCGCAGGAGTACGGGGTGGCACCTGTCGGTTCGTTTAACCGTTCGCCAAGACGAGCACGTTTTTATTGCGGATCGTTGGAAACGTAAAGGTATTTGATGCAGTAGTGAAAAACAACAAAAAAAGAGACCTTGGAGACAACGACAACCCCCCCCCCTCCCCAAAGTACAGAAAATTCCGGATTCCACACGTGACAAATATTTATACGGCGGTTTTAATCTTATCCGCATATTATGGCGAATATTTACCCGTTTCTATAATCTAATCCAATTCAAAAAGCAATTACAAATAGCAACAAACGCGTGATGTTCTCAAACAATAAACACAGTATTATACGTATTACTTTTATAAGATTTGAATGTAGTGAAAAAGCTATTGGTTTTACTATGATGTGTATTTTTTTTTTTTTTTCAGAAAACATTTTTCAGTAGTCAAAATTCTCAAATTTGTTCATATCATACATTTAAAGTTGCGGATTTTTCACTTAACTTTATTTAAAAAAATATTATTCGACATTTTCAGCGGCTCGCCTCTTAGTTTTTTTTATTACTATTATTTTTTTGTTTTTTGTTGATTTCTTAGTTCCTTTGGCCACAAGGGAGAAAACACGATCGATTGATATACTATACTCCACGCTATACTCCTCTAAAAATCATTTTTCATTTATAACGATGTATCTTTGTATATAATATACAAACTTAATCTCCCTGCATATCCTATCTTCTCAACTTCCCACCTACAAGAGTGGCCTACCCATGAGCTCTTTTTTTTTTTTGTCACACATAAAAAAATGCTTTATATTTTCTCGACAGAAAAAACATAAATTTCGAACGCACGTTCAAAGGGTTAAATATTTTTTTTAATTTCAGAAATAAATAACATTCATTTTTTTTTTTTTTTTAACTATGCATATACAGCACAAGTATTACACTTCGTCGCACACGTACAAAAATTGCGCACCTTTATACTCATTTCACCGCACAATAGGAATAATTGTAAAAAAAACAAAAACAAAAACCTTAGAAACGAAACGAATATTTTTTTGTAGAATAACTTTTAATATAAATTGCATGATTTTATACACGGGTTTTTTTCTCATCCGTGAATTTTAAAACGTTCGACCTATAGAGCTTTTCGTTAACGAATCGCATTATCCCTCGAAAAATTTAACGCTCCGAGTTTAAGAGATTTGGGTGTATATAGAGGTAAGACAGTTGATGAGCGTGTCGGTATAGAAGTGGACTTTTTTCCCCTATAATAATGTTTAACGGGCAATATTTTAAAAATTTAACTACCTCGGGAAAGTAATGGTAATTTATATTATTTTCAGAAAAATATGACGCGTACTGTCAGAGTTTATGGTACATAATATTATGGTACATCGAACATCGTTTGTTTCTACAATAAAACGTTTGTTGTTTTTTTTTTAATTTGATCCTGGCCTAGAAAGTCAATTTGCCCTCTAAAAATAACTATTGGTTATAAAAACGAAATAAAGGTATTCCTGGCGTTGGGCTAAAGATTTCAAGTCCACGGTAATATAAAAAGGCTTCAAAAGATTGTCCCGCTACTTCTATAATATTGATATTGTAAAACATTTTTTTTTTTTTTTTTTGTTCCTATAAGAACCGCGTATTATTTTTAAGCGTAATATCAGATTTGGCTTAAACTTTTACAGCGAAATCAGTCAACAATCCATAAAGTCACCTATATATAGGTAGAAGGTACTTAAGATTTTATGACATTCAACATTTTTTTTTTTTTTAATCCTAACAGTTAGTTATACCTACACAGTTATTCAAAGGTTTTCCGGTGGTTTTTTATTAAATTTGTTCAGTTTTTCTTCCACTGTATACAGCGATCGTGTTTTCTTCGTTTAACCACTTGATGTGAAACGACGGGTTCCCGGTACACCGTAGCGCAAAATTTAATAACAATGTGTACAGCTGCCGTGCGCGAAAAGGGACTGGAAAGTTGTTGAATATACTATACTATATAAATATACATAGATAGCCTTGAGTATTATAACGTATCTATACCTCTCCTAAGTTTAGTCGAACAATATGTATTAGTTATTGTTATTATTAATCACGCGGTACACATTAACTATACCTACGCTAAAACTTCGGTTGGCCGGTTACAAATAATTGAGGCTTGTATAATAATGTTAGGTTGGGTTCGTGTATAGAACTAACGAATACGCGTTGTCGCACAAAACATTGACGACCACATAGAATGGTAATTTTTATGGCGACCGTACGAGGTGTGTTTAAAAATACTCCGGACTGTTTGAATTGCGCGCCAACATCGCTTCGAAGAGCAGTAGGATTGGTATCACTGGTATCGTTCGGCGATTGTTCCTGGCCACATCTCTTTTCATGGATTATCTATAACCTTCTTCGTTTTGATGTGACCTATGGCAATCGTATTCGGGGATTTTATATTGAATCCAAAAAAAGAACAACTCGACGATCTTGTTTGACCTGAGAACGTTAACAAATTCAAGTACAGCTTTGCTGCCACTCAACGAATCTGCAGTTTTCCAGTTACAATATTTTAGTATACGCTATACGAAATGTTGCATTTCTTTGCCGACCAAGCTTCTGTCATCACAATAGAAAAAAATCATCTCCGTTCCTCTCCCCCAGAAAAACTCGTCAAATGGCTTTTCTTTTGGATTCATTACAAAATCAATTGACACGAAAAATATATTTTACAAAACCATCGGTTACATCAAAACAATGAAGATTATAAAAAAACAGAAACGCCTAGGAAAAGTCACAGAACCCGACGAAAATACGAAAACTGTATAATCACATTTAATTATAAATAATATATAATTCTTCAGAATGGGAATTTTTTGAGATCATGTTTTCATCCTCTTTTATTTTGGATTCACCGAGATCAATTTTTTTCTCTATTCAAATTACGAGAATTATTTTACACGTGTATTAGAAATTAATATATACAATATAGATGCATGGTGAAACGGAATTTTCACCAGGTTACTGTATGGAAAATGGTCCAGGATTAGCCATTCATAATGATAGATAGACAGAGTGAAATCGGATGTTTTTTTAGAAATCTCCCGAGCAACAAGAATAGAAGACAGCGAACATCAAAATTGGCGGAATGGCGTAGCGGAGACGTCATTTATGGACTGTAAAAGCTGGTCAAAGAGGAAAACGTCTTGCATTTACCGATATAACATTTGTGACGTTATGCATATTATACTAAATGACTTAACGATATAGTCATCTTGTATTACATAACCGAAATTGTATGCGGTTAAAAAATAAATCATAAATAAAAAAAATAAAATAAACTCTAACCATGACCCGTACTACTAGTTAAAGCTGAAACAAAACATAAGGCATTAAACACGTTTATATTTCATGTGTATTCACCATATTGTTGTTGTACCTACCGTGGCGGGATTACTTAAAATATTCGAACACGCAACTAATAACGATATGGTGTTGTTTTTTTTTTTTCCTTTCTATACTACATAAGTTTTTTTTATAGTCTTTTAAATTTTATTTTTACTTTTCCCAAGTGCTTACCTACAACGTTAACTACGAGTTTCGTCTGCGTATACTACGGGTCGGTCAGTTTTGCGCTCGGGGTCAAGTTATAACATAGTAAAATACAATTAAAACTATTTCGAAAATTCATCGCCGTATAAAAAAAAAACCATAAAAAAAAAAAAAAAAAACGTGAAAATTCAACGGATAAAAATAATAATTTGTCTCTTTATAATGTTTTTTCGGCTATAAAACGAGAGAAAAGTTAGCAATTTCACGGTGTCGTTGTATTTGCTGCAGAACGCGTTGGTATTGTACATAGATATATGTGGTAGTAATTTTTACGACGGGTGACTGCTCAAAGAAACTTTGCACCGGTCAAATCGTATATTATTATACACAACATAATAGCGGCCCCGAGGTTATAACAACTCGCGATATTTTAATCTGACGACAAAATTAAAAATAAAAACAAGGTAAATCTTAAAAAAGAAAAACATACATTTCATCGTCTGCCCCCGGTGTTTATTTATTTATTTTTTTTTTTTTTTGCGTTTAGTCCGACTCTGTCGTAGTACGAATGCACCGGCGGTGCACGCCCGGAAGATCCTACATATACACAACGATTACACAGTCCGCCTTATTAAAAACTTTTTTGAAAAAAAACAATACTCTGGGTTGCACCTTTCGCCGTCTCGAGCCCGTCATTGAAAAAAACGCGAGCGAATTTCCCGCGCGCAGTTATTGTATCGTTTGTGTAGGCAACGGAAGAGATGCGAACTTTTTGCAGGCGATGAAAACCATCACCCGATCACCGGGCCGGAGACGCATAATTTTTACACTGGGTGGTTTTTTTTTTTTTTTGCCTTGTGTAATATGTTTTATACGACGTCGTTTAGCGAGTATAATAACATGTTCGCGCGATTACAAAATTCGCACAATACCGCGCTCTGGTGCAGTTATCGCGCAATAATAACAATAACGCAATCTTTTTGATTAACGGTTTGTTTGCGTTACACGAGGATTTCCGCAAATGTTACGTTATATTATATATATAGTGTATAAAAGACGTGGGCGTATACTTTTATCCGCGAGTTCAGCTGGCGACCGCGAATTGAAGTGTACACCTCTTGCACCGCGGCGTTAAACTTTTAGACTTTTATTATACGGTACGCGCGCACACATATATGCCCGACGCGACGCCGTTTTTATCAGTGGCGAGCACGCTAAAACCTTTGCACGTGGCATTATTAACGACGAACGTCGTCGCCAACGCCAGTAGCTAAAGCGGGGTGCACGGGACTGAGACCCCCCCCCTTCTTCTTATTTAAGGTAAAATTTTCCGTCCCCTTTAGTTCAAATCCTCGAAATATAGTGCAGGGCCGCTTTAATTATTGTCACTGAGGTATTTTCAATGAAAATAATTGATGACTCGAGTTAATTTTATTAAAAATAAATTATTTGACACCTATTGGATAATCTATGATCAGACATAGTTTTAATTTATTTTCATTGCACAAACATGTGTGTAGGAAACTTTTTTTTTCGGAAGGGGGAGGTGATGTTTACTTCAAACCCCTATCAGCATATCATTTGTATGAACACATGTGCGTGGGAGAAAAACGTTTTGAAAGTCTTGTATCTTTGACGGGTTTTCTGAAAGATTGGTTGAGTGTAATGAGTTTTCGAAAACGCATTTCAATTTGTTTGTATACTATTATAGTCAACCAACGCTGACATTTTAAAGGCTCGACGTGACAACACCACTATATCAGTCCGCTAGTAGTATAAAATTATTAATGTTGAAGACGAGAATTGATTCAATATACGCGCGAGAAAGAAATAGTCAAGAGGTTTTGTACCGCGGAAGTATAAATTCAATACAATTTAATTTTCCGCGAAAACCTTAATACTTGTACCGATGGACGTGCCTGGACGGCAGCAGTCGCCAATGGTCGAACTTAATGGTCGAAAAAATGAATTCCAACTATAGGTGCGCGCGGTGGCCGAACACGGAATAAAATATAACGATTTCATGGAATAAACAATGTAATTTTAGTTATAAATAAACGATAAATCATGCTGGTAACTGCGCGTTTGCCCCGGGCTTAGATATATTTTGTTTTACATGCATTAAGCGTTGCAATATAATATGTTATTGCCCGTGTTATTTATTACTTTGCGGCAACGCTACGGAAACGCATCATTACGAATTACCGCGGACGCGAGAGAGTTTTGGGTTTTCACGGCGGAGATTAGTCAATCGCTTAAAATGTGTTCCGCGTTCAAAGGTTTTTAAAATTGCCATTATTTGCAAACACGCGGTTTCCTATATTCACGGGACGTCATCATTAACCAACAATGGCAGAAACGAATACAATGCCGCGCGCACATACGCGGGTTTTCTTTTCTATTTTTCCCTTTTTTTTTTTTTTTTTCTGAATCTATCCCCGGCCAACGTAGCAGCGTACCACGGTAGGAAAAAATGTCAATTACCGCGGGCCAAGTTCATTTTTCATCGGATACGCACACAAAACGCGCCGTGTTTTTAGCTTTTCTAGGCGGCGGCGACTGCAGGCGAGCATGCCCATTGGTCTTCTTTAACGGCTTCCGTCCGGCCGATTTATTCGCGGCAATTTATTGCGCGAACGTGCCCCTTCCCTCCCCCCCCCCATAAATCCGCCGTTCTCCAAGACCCCGCCGAGTTTACGTATATTTCGCGAACTCCTACGGCGGTGTCGGTGACGACGACCTTACTACATATTATAAATTATTCGAAACGTATATAATATACAAACGTTTACGGTACACTGTAAATCTACATGATGGGCATGAAAAAAGAACCACACAAATCCAACGTGTACGTGGGTAGATACTCACTTGGAAGATTGTCTTATTCTTAGGCTCGGTATTCTAGTCATAAACGGCTAGTCCTTTTCAGCTGTTCGCTCACCAAGGCTGTTTTAGTTCGAATTTTCGATCGCTACAATTTGTATTCACCCATTATAAGGTAAACGATAAAAACAAATGCAAACACAAACAATAAAATGATAAACAAAAACACACTAGCGGGTTGTTAATAATTACATACATGGCGTCGAATGAGTACAACCTGCAGCGTTTATGGTGTGTACGTTCTGAACTAAACGCGCCTCTGTAAGCGAACATCGTTAATAACCATGGCGGGTAAGAGCCGCTGTCGGACCTTATCTTCTATTAAGCCCGCGCGATGGTACGGATACCTACACCGTTTTTCCGCAAATCAAAATTAACACAACGCGCGCACGGCAAAGGCCCGATGCGAAAATTTCTCTCTTTTCGAGTGTAAAACATCAAAGCGTCGAGTTGTATAGCGGTGTATAGTTGGTGTGCGCGATGATACTATGCATCTAATATACACACACACACACACACACACACAGAGAGAGAGAGAGAGAGAGAGAGAGAGAGAGGTCGACGGCGGCGCAGCGAGGCGGAGTAAATATGAATAATAAACGCATTTAAATATTTATACACGTCGTATGTGTGTGCGTGTGTGTGTATGCAGCAAACGCGAGAATTCTATTGCGAGAAAATGGGGATTTTGGCGATTCGGAAGAGGGTACCGCTACTGTTGTGCACGATGCCGCAGACGCACGAGAGAGAGAGAGAGAGAGAGAGAGCGAAAAGCG